AAAAAAAAAAAGTCATTCTTGTCTCAGCCTGTTTTACACTTAGAGATTTTTCACACTGTGGGGGGCTGACAGGCCAACTATGATACCTGGAAGTTATGTGAAAACCGTTAATATATACAAGATGTGTTTATGGGGTGTGCATATTTTAAAGAAATGTATGTCTTAAACTGTTTAACTTTAAAGGGCATTTTTCTCCTCAAGTCTTTTCAAGCTTGCTTTTTGTAGTTTGCTTTTAGGCATTTCCATGCGTGTGGACAGCTGATATTCAGTTATTGTAAAGCATATGTACTTTTGTACATGTGTTGAATTACTTGAAAGCTTGTGCTCACTGTTATCACACAAAATCATTATATTTTACAACATAATGTCTGCATTTTTCATTTAAGCTAATCATTTTTAATCTGGGAAAACTGTTGTAGAAACCAATTCTTACATTTAGACCAGCAAGTCAAATAAAGATGAATTAAGTGATTCTTATAACTTCTGTTATCAAAATTGAAGCTAAATTGTAATTTGTTTTGGCGCTACCATGTAGTATTTTTGAGGTAGTGTCTACAAACCAGGGAGTAGGGCTGTTTCATCATGATCAGGATCATTTTCAGTGTAACATCACTTTGAAAAAGCTTTACATAAGTAATTGAAACTAAACATTTTTATTTATTTATTTATTGGAAAAAAAATTAACATTCGAAAATAAAGCAGCAACATAAGAACTGTGATGATCAACAGAAATCAACACTTGGAAAAAGCTTGTCTGGTTTTGTTGTTGTTGTTGTTTTGTTTTTTCAGGGAATGTAACTTTCGAAACAAAAAAAAAAGTACTGCAGTCAGCTGATTAGGGGAGCTCGTCCAGTGTGGCTTCAATGTTTGTGTTCCAATCATCAAGTTCAGGTTGTGTTTATTTGTCATATGCAGGTTAACACAGTCAACAGTACAATGAAATGTTCAGGATGAGAAGAACCGATTTAACTCGCTAAAGACAAAGAACAAACAAACAAGAAATACTGAAGCATGCAATAAGGGTACAAAAATACAGTACTAAAAAGTGAAAAAGTAAATATAATATTTACAAGGTCCAAAAGAAAAATTGTAAACAACAACATGATAGAATATAACAGTGCAAGTAGGATGCATCTGTGTGAATAAGTATTTCACAAGTAGTAATATAAGCTTAAGTGCACATGATTGCACATAAATAACATCAACTACACAAGTTGTGTGACAGGTTATTGCGCAGGTAGTGAGTAATACTGAGATCAAATTATGATGGTAAGGTAGTGACATACATGATGCAGCCACATAGTTCAGCAGCAATAAACATATTAGCTGTCACAGATAATATTAGTCATATTACACTGTTTAATAGTGTGTAACTGTGTAACATCTACAGATGTGGCTTGGTGCAATGTTATTGTCAATTGTTTAGAGTTATCATCAAGAGTTCAGTAATCTGACAGCTTGTGGATAATAACTGTCTTTGAGTCTTTTCGTGCGCGATGGCAGACTCTTGTATCGTCTGCCTGAGGGTAGTAGACGGAAGAGTCTTTGTGCTGGGTGGGTGTGGTCCTTAATGATGCTGTGTGCTTTACGCATACATCAATCTAAACAGATCTTGACCTTCACAGTAACTTCCTCTCCCTCCGTTAACTGAGAAACTTCTTATTGAACAGCTTACAGTTTCTGTCCTGAATACTACTACAGTTAGCATGACTGAAGACTTTGTGTGTCAGTTTAACTTGTTTAATATCCAGTACTTACACATAATATAGTACACATCATAAAAACCATGTCACCTAGTTTTACACTTTGGATCTCCACTATCTACACTTGAGTATTAAACATGACTTGGTATAATTCACAGTATAGCTTCTACTTTAGTACACCTACAGCAACCATTAGTATCTTATACAGTCTTGTGTAAGGTGGCAATGTGTCAAACAGATGTGCTTTAAGAACCCCATGAAGGTGCATCTTCTGGCAAGGCCAAATACTTGCTTTGCAGTTTTCAGGACAGTAATCTGGATCAGCATCAAAACTAGACGAGTTCTCCTTTTGCCTGTGTTCATCCTGCCCAGCAAGTGTTGTGATTTGTAGTTTTATACAATGTTGCTGACAAAATCTGCTATGATTGTATTTCTTTACCTCAATCCGCTGCTAAGCAGTTTAGAGAAATAAAATAAAAGACTCTTATCGCCTTAGATGTTTTGTAGCCACAAGGACTGTTTGTTTTTCCGTTATTTCAACTCGTCTTAGGTCTCAGGGTTCAAATAAAATACAAACACGTATTTTAGACCGAGAAAAATCATACAGCGATCATTCCTGGAATGCTAGACATTTATTTATGTACATTTTTTGTAATGCAGATTTTCAGGTGCAAAATTTTATTAAATATCTGTGGCTCCCCGAATCCTGAACCCTACAAAGAAGTGAGACGGTGCTCACAACAACTAGACCAAAATAATAGGGTGTCATGTTTTTGAGTGATTAAATCCATGCTCTTTCTCCCTTTGGGGTTCAGGTGACTGACAACAAATTGTTTAATGTGATGCAAGCCCTGAAGTGAGACTGCTCCTAGTAAAGCAATGAAACGATGAGTTAGACGAAACCAGATGAAAGCAGCGTGTTTACAAGAGTTCGTCTAAATTCTGACAGTTTGCAAGCCTGTGTAAATTGTTTCCCCATTCTATGGAGGAAAAAAATAATTAATGCAGCCAAATGACTTCTAGGAGACAACTTCATATCCAAGATCTTATTTTAAAATATGATGACTTTGCAGATACAAAGCAGGCAGGGAGTTTTATCCCTCCGGCACTCTGAGCTGGCGTTTGTTCCATCTTTATGGAATAGATCCACAGTATGTCTTTTCATTAAAGAAAAATGTATTACATTGTTTAAAAACCGACGTTACGTTTTGTGAACTTAATTGTTTATTAGTTTTCGTGTCACATAACAGCAGATTTTTCCTTCATGAATTGAGTTTTGCCCACTAAGTGAGAACCACTGGTCCAGGATTGGGTGACACTTCCTCAGCACCAAGGTCTGTTCTCACTCCATCATGTGTTCGATTTTCCACGGACCCTCTTCATCTTTAGTTAACCTGTTTCTCAACACATTGCTCCTCGTGGAAAACTAATCTCCTCTCTGCTTAAGGACTTTGTTGACATTTCACGAACCAGGTCACGGACATTTTCAAGAATAGAATAGCTTTGGTTTTATATTAACCTTTAATGTGGTCAGAGCTGACCTGGAGAGGTTTTTAAACACGGTCACATGCAGATGGGTCACACAGAGGAACATGCAGGGATCAAAGAAGTAGAGCTTTTTCTCTGGAATAGTGAAGCTATTTGGTGCCAGATGAATTTCTGTAGGATGAATGATAGGATGTTGCAGAGCAATTTTTTTATAGGATTTTTGTGTCAATATGACGAGAGATCTCAGCCTCTGTTTACTCACTGCTGGAGGGTTTTTCACTGAGATCCAGTCCCACTACTGGACAAGTCCCCACACGGTGCCACAGCCAGCTGCTCAACAATCATCCAGCAAGGAAGACTGAGTGCCATAACAATCAGGAACACCTGTGGTGCTGCAACCATCCACTCATCCACTATCTCGACAGGGAAAACAAATAACGCATCAACGTCAGCACAAAGGCTGTATTAATTTTGAGTATTTGTTGCAAAATTCAGAGTAATTACATGTATCAATAAGACAAAAAGGACGTTTTGTATTTGAAAGTGTCTGCTACAAAGCTTCACAAGAAAAAGAAAACGTCTATATGTATCATCTTCAGAGACCTGCTCCATCCATCTGTGCCTCACAAAGATGGTCTGAGCTACTATTTATTATAATTACAAATTTTATTCTAATGATTTGTCCCAGTA